TTATGAAGGCTCGTAATAAAGTTGATGGTATCCGAGTGAACAAAGCATATTTTGGTAAGATACTGATACAAAAACAAGGGTCAGCTATTATAATTCTCAGAAGGCTAAATACTAGGATGAAAAGATCAATCCAATGTGTATTTTTAAATTACTTAATAAAGGACATCAATCGGATACAATAGGGGCATTTATGGAGTGTTCATTAGAAAAATTAAGTTCTCTCTTAATGAAATCTGTAAAGAATATAAAAAAACAGCAAATCATTAATAATCATATCAGAAAAGCCCCATATATAGTCTTGCGTCTCTCTATAAACGATGGACGGTGATAAGGAAATCTAATAAGGAAGCCTTTGGTATGTGCAATTTTACAAAAAATATCATTTTCTTTACGCGATAATTTGGACTATCAGAGTCATCTAATTTTATTAAATAAATACCTAAAGGCATCAATGCAGCAATGGAAACGACATGAGCAATACGAGCTTAAATAATGACGGATAAAAGAAATATCAAGAGAAAGAGTTGAGTAGTATAAAATTCTACCACAATTTAGCAAAAATGTAGTTCCCCGACACAGATAAGCAATCAGGACAATGAGACGGCACGCACCTGAATTCGTTTCCACTCCTTAAGCTGCTTTATGTCCGGAAACGATATGCCATAGATACGCTGTAAAGATTCGGCATCAGCTTTTCCCTCCCAATAGGCTGCACTACTCTTAATGACTTCTAAAGCCTTAATACAACCTGAAAATGAAAATTATAGAGAACAACGGGTCAAATAACGAGCTGATATGAATATCTAAACTTGCCAGTATTTCTTACGTGTGGTCCGAGACAGAGATCTATCAATGGACCACATCTGTAAACTGTGGTGGTGGGTGTATTTACACGTTCTTTTAAGATACGCAGCTTAAATTGATTATAAGCAAACATCTCCAAAAGATCAGCCTTCTTGATTTCAAGTCTCTCGAATGGCTGATGATCTTTGATAATTGAGTGGCAGAGCGAAGTAAGTTTAGGATGGTCATCATTGCGTACCTGGCTGAGAACAATTGCACAAAAA